AATTGTATGTTTCTAGGAATTTATTCATTTCATTAAGGTTATGCAATTTATTGGCATATAGTTGTTTGTAATATTTTCTTATAATCCTCTGTATGAAATAGCCTGTACATTTCAAAATGTTGTCACCAAGTAAACAACCTTCAAGAAAACAACCTTTTAAAGGTAATTAAAAAACATTCTACTTACTAAAAAAAATGAAGTAATTGTTGATAGATGCAGTTATTGACATTTTACTATTCATAGTTTGATCTTTTTTGTCCTTCTTCTTAAATAAGTCCTTTTAACACTTCTTGTAATATGGTTTGGTGGTGATAAACTGCTTCATCTTTTTCTTGTCTGAGGAGTTGTTTATTTCACCTTTAACTTTAAATGACACCCTTAGTGGTTAGAGTAGTCTTAGTTGCTTTTCATTACTTTGAGTATTTCTTGGAAAATACTTCTGGCCTCCAAAAATTTCTGTTGAGAAATCAGCTGACAGTCATATGGGAGCTTCTTTGTAAATAAATAACTGCTTTTCTCTTGCTTCTTTTAAGACTCTCCCTTAGTCTTTAACCATTGGCATATTATGAGGTGTCTTGATGTGGGCCTCTTCGGTTTCATTTTGTTTGGGACTCTTTGTGCTTTTTGGACTTGAGTATCTTTTTCTTTCACCAGGTTTGGGAAGTTTTCAGTCATTATTTCTTTTCTTCTTTTAAATTAATATATATTTTATTGATTTTTTACAGAGAGGAAGAGAGAGGGATAGAGAGTTGGAAACATCGATGAGAGAGAATCACTGATCAGCTGCCTCTTGCACACCCCCTACTGGGGATGTGCCCTCAACCAAGGTACAAGTCCTTGACTGGAATTGAACCTAGGACCTTTCAGTGAGCCAAACCAGTTTTGGCAGTCATTATTTCTTAAAATAGGTTCTCAATTTCTTGCTCTCTCCCTCCCCCTTCTGGTATCCCTATGATACAAATGTTGCTATGCTTAATGTTGCAAAAACTTCTTAAAATATCTTCATTTTTCTAGATTTATTAAAATTTTGCTGCTCTGATTGGCTGTTTTTTACTACCTTGTTTTATAAATTATTCAAGCGACCCTCTGCTTCATCTAGTCTACTGTTGATTCCTTCTAGCGTATTCTTAATTTCAGTTCTTACATTCCTCATTTCTCTTTTTTATATATAATTTTTTAATGTTTTTCTTTGTGCTGGTAAAGTACTGACAGAGTTCCTTAAGATCATTATAACCATTGTTTTGATTTCTGTATCTGGTTGTCTGTTTGCCTTCATTTCATTTATTTAGTTCTTTTTCTAATGATTTATCCTGTTCTTCCATTTGGGACTTTTTTTGTCTCCCCATTTCATGTGCCTTCCTGTGTTTGATTCTATGTATTAGGTTGATTTGCTATGTTCCCATCTTAGCAGAATTACCTTGTGTAATAGGTGTCCTATAGGAACCAATGGTGCAGTTCCCTCAGTCACCCAAGTTGCATCCTTTGTTGCAGTTAAGTCTTGATTGCTATTGGCATATCAATGGAAGGGATTGACCTACAGGTCAATTGGCAAAAAGAACCAGCTGCAGCCACAGAAGCTGGGCCAACCACACAGAGCAAGACTCACTTTAGCAGGTCTCTGGTGCCGAGTCTGCTCCTTCAATGTGTTAGTCATGGAGGTGGTTTGGTGGTGTCCAGTGTGGTCTGAAGCTGTTCACCATGTGCACTCTGGCTCTGTTGCCTGTGTGGGAGGTTTAGGCCTAGGTCAGCTGCTGACTGTGCCATGCCCCAGCCACTCAGAATGAGTACAAAATAGTCTTCTGATGGCTACTAGTTGTGTTGGGCTTGGAAGTGCCAATGAGAGGCCAAGCTGCAAACTGAGCCCAACTGTCACTAGTGCAGAGCCTGCACCACTTAGTAAGAGGTACAGAGCACATAACAGCCAGATTATGTCTGTTTTGAATTTGTGAACCTTTGAGAGATTTAAGGAAAGTTTAAAGAATAAGCCAAGACTGGCCATTTGCATGAAAATGCCATTGGAAATAGCTTGGGTGGGCCCACAAGTTGGGTTGGTTGTGGTCTAATAAATCATTAGGGCTAGGAGAACAGCATAAGTCAGGTTGATGGGGACTCAGACTGCATAGGGAGAGCTCAGCAGAGGAGCAATGGCCTCTGCCAGCAACAGTGGGGGGGAGGGGGAGGAGAAAGCTGCCCATCCCAGCTCTTGTGTCATAACCAGACTATTCAGTTCCTACTCATGTGTGCCCTATACCTTTTGACGTGCTGACCCTGTGTTGGATCTCAGAGTGAGTAAGTCAATGTATGTTCATGCACGAACCCTCTTAGAGGACTGTCTGGAACTTCTGTAGCCCTCTATCTCATTCAGCAGCAATCCAACTGGGTTTCACAGCCAGAGGTCATTATGGGGACTTCTCTTCCTGACACTCGAACCCTGAGTTCTGGAGCCTGGTGCAGGGCTGAGACCCCTTGCTCCTCAGGAAGTGACCTTCACAGCTTAAATATCGCTCCTAACTTTTAACTACCACACATGGGTGTGGGTGCCATTCTGTATCTCTGTCCTTCCCACATGTCTCCATGAAACTTCTTCTTTATGTCCTTAGTTGCAAGACTTCTGTTCAGCTACTCTTCAGGAGGTTTGGGATGATAGTTTTCTGTAATTTAGTTGTAATTTTGATGTGATTGTGGGAGAATACTAATCCCACATTTACCTACTACAACAACTAAACCAAATGGTTGGAAATGCAGACAACATATTAAAGGGCCAACACACAAAATTCCATGTGCATCCACTCACCTTGGGCTATGGCAGAGGGAGGGCAGAGTGATCTAGAGCTGTGTAAGGAAAATCCAGGGTTGGGGGTTCCCACAAGCTATTCACAGACCTTGGTTTTCTGTGCTGAGTCATTCCCTCATCTGCAGAGGACATCTTTCTCAGGCAGACATTTACCATCCATGCATCTTTTGCCTTTGGGGAAGCAATTGCCCCACCCTGTTGGAAAAAACTCTGGCCCCACCCTGTGGAGTCCATACCTTGCTGTGATCTATAGCCTGAGGTGCATTAAGACTCAGAGGATAATTATCAGACTACAGGCAGAGGCAGATCTCTGGAGGCTTTGCGTCTCTGCCTGATCTCTTTCTGAGCCTGGGGCTAGGAAAAGCAAACCTTGCTGTACATCTTGGTTCTTTCCAAAGGCACCCAGCCCCAGATAAGGGAGCCACAAGCTGTGGATTTCTGATAGCCCCAAACAGTACTCAGGGCCACTCACAAACAGAGTCTGACATTATCCTGCACCAGAAACTTGGAGTTATAGCAGATCCCCCTAATACCCAGACACAAACCCAAACAGGCAGCCAAATTGGGAGACCAAAAACAAGCCCCAAATGAACAAACAAGAGAATCCTCCAGAAGAAGGGTCAACTGAAGTGGAAGTTAGAAATTTACCAGATATGGAGTTCTGAATAATGATTACAAAGATTGACATTGCCGAAAGCAAGGCTTGGGACTGTCCACAGTTAATGATTAGCTTGCCCTCCACGACGTTTCCCAGATCTCTTGAGCTATCTGCTGGGTGAGCTGTGCTCTCCTCCAAGGTTACAGGGATTCTGGAGCCGTCTGCTCAGGAGGAGAGTGGACCAAGAGATCCCCAGAGAAACTTCCTCAGAGGACTTGGCAGGTGAGAGCTGTTGCAGGGAATGGACTGATGGGATCATGTCTCTTAATAGCACTAACCAGTCTTTAGAAGCCAGAGCTATCCAGGACTGGGAAAACACAGTCTGCACTCCGTAGGGTTGGTGAAAGGGAGTATCTTCCAGGTCTTAGCGATGAAGCAGCAATGGGGAGAGGAGTCGGTGTCTTGCATGGCAAAGAGAGAGGGCGGGGTGGCTGGAAGAAGGGTAGTCAGATGAGAATGGAGATTGAGTGGTGGTCAAGAATGGAGGCCTTCTGAGGAGGTGAGACCTGAAGAATGAGAAAGAGGCAGCCAAGGAAATAGGGTAAGACCCGCAGGTTGGTCAGGCAATCTCACTTCTGTTCTTTTAGAAGATCAAAGAGGAGGCATAGTGTCTGAGAGTTTGAGCATTCTGGCTGCTGCTGGCCAGACAGAGGGGAATGAGAAACCAGACAGCCGGTGGGACTCCTGACTTGATTCCTTAAAGCAAAGGTCGTTAGACTTAAATTCCACAGCCTCCACCAGGGTGCACATGTTGGAACTCCAGCCTACGCAGCCTTGAGCCACTGTCCCTGAAGCCCATATGGAACAACAGTGACAGCAGTTATAATTTCTAAAGTGATGCTGTGTGCCAGGTGCTGTGTGCTAGGTTCAGATGAAGGAAATAGATACCACTTGTATTAATCAGCATTCACTGTAGTAACAAATATCCAAGCATCGCAGGAGCTTGGAATCACACACATTTTTCCCATGGGCCTTTGGGCAGGCTGTGGGTGTGCTGAGCCCAGCTCAGCCTACAGGTGCTATCATTCAGGGATCCAAGCTGAAGGTAGAGACCACCTGGGGTATGCAACACTCATGAGAGAGGGAACAAATTCAAGGGCTCCTGACCAACCACACAATCACATCCACTCACATCCGTGGGCAAGCCAAAGTCAACATGAGGGGGACATACCCTTCCCCAGAATGCACTAGGCGGGTCATATGAAAATTAATGGGGACATATAATCCCAGTACAGGGAAGGAGCAAGTTGTTAGGAACAACAATCAGCCCACCACAGCCCTGCACTTTACGCACTAAGGGGCATGCTACACAGAACCGAGTGTCCACAAAGCTGCCAGCAGTGCCAGAGCAGTAAGATCTGGCTGGTGCTGTGCTTGAGGAGAAGGGTGTGCCCGGCTGAAATGGACGTGAGTGCCAATGCACTCACCCACAGCAAATCTACTTCCGGAAGAAGCCGTGAGGTGGGCTTGATCTCCAAGAGCGTTATTGCCTAATGGAGCAGCTCTAGTAGGAAAGGCTCATTCTGAAACCCCTTCGCAGGTCTGGCCATGCACTGGCTGCGGAAGCTCCAGGGGATCTGCATCCGAAGGAGGACGCAGATGGCCTGTCGCACTGTCCACATTCATGCCAAGCAGCTGGCATCACTGCAGTGGGGCCACCAGGAAGTACCTGCCAGGTTCAACTTCGCTAGCGACGTGATGGATTACTGGGCTGGCATGGAGAAGGTACTGGGTGGGAGGAGAAGAGACCCAGATGGACAATTGGGCTGAGTTTACTAATTTAGCCATACATTCAGTACATAGTGAACACATTACGTGCCAGGTAGCATGATGAGCTACGATGTTTGTCTCCCATGGAGGCCACATCTGGTGGGAGCAAGAGATTCGAGAGCTTGGCAAAAAGAAGGGCCTAGGGGATTGGTGCAGGTGGGACAATCTGGTAAGTCCTTGGGTGACTGGCACCCAGTTTGCCTACACATTCTGCACATGCTCTGTTGTGACATCTGAGGGTGAGACAGGACTAATGGGCTGTGGTCACCAAGAGGCAGATTTGGGTTTAATAAGAGAATCAGCACCGGCCGCACACTGAGTCAGTGCTCTCAGAAAGTTGTGTGTTCCTGCCATTTGGAGTAAGCAAGCAGGTTGGTCATCAGGCAGATTGTCGAAAGGACTCGGCAGCGGCATCAGAGAAAGAGTGATGAGAACATGTCTCTCCCCGTTCCACCCTGGACTTCTAGCCCTCCACCCTCCATGGCTGACCTACACTGCCTTCCGGGGCTCTGTGCGCCTTCGGAGGATGAAGGGTCCTCTGGGCTGGGACCTGGGAGGAGTGGGCCTGCCAAACGGCACTCCTCGGAGGGAGCCACACCAGAGGCGGCCCTGAGGCCCTGACCTCAGCACCATCTTCATGCGGAGGCTGCGCACGCCAGCCACTGGGCGGCATGGCCCGTGGGGCAAGGCCTGCTTCCCCCGGCATCCGGCCAACACTTGGAAATCTAAAGCTTCCTGATAAAAATGTAGATTTCTGGCCTTTCTCTGAAAGTTATACATACCTCCTTGAAATAATAAGAAAGGTCTTTACTATCATGACTCAGAATCCTGAGTCCACAAAAGAAGTGATGTAATAAATTCACTACACAGCCATCAAAACCCAGCTCTGCTGACAAACAGCATGAGCAACATTTAAACAACACCCTGGCCAGTGTGACTCCGTGCTTAGACTGTCTACATGCGCTCCAGGCCACAGGTTCAATCCCCAGGCAAGGACACATGCCTGGATTGCAGGGTCATCCCAGGCCTGGTTCAGGTGTGCAGGAGGCAACCCATCTCATACCTATGTCTCCCGGTTTCTCTCTCTCCTCTCTCCCTTTCACTCTCTCTAAAAGTCAATGGGGAAATATCCTCCGGTAAGGATTAATGGCAACAAAAAAGTTAATGACCACCAGGGGGGAAATATGCAACTCATATATTAACAAAAGAGTTAATATTACTAATACAAAAGAGACCCTAGAAATCAAGAATAAAAAGACACAACCCAATATAAAAGTGGGTGAGGTATAACAAGAGACAATTCACATCTTATTTGTGGCAATATATAATGAATTCATGCTGTGATTTTTAAAGCATACATGTATAAATTTTCTCATCTTTAACTTCTAACATAATAAGTTTGTTTTAAAAGATGTTTTTTGTCCCAATGATTTTTTTAAAGTATATTTTTATTGGTTTCAGAGGGAAAGAGATACAGAAACTTCAATGATGAGAGAGAATCCCTGATGGGCTGCCTCCTGCATGCCCCCCACAATGGGGATCGAGCCTGCAATCCAGGCCCTGACTGGGAATCGAACTGTGATTTCTTGGTTCATAGATTGACACTCAACCACTGAGCTACTCTGGCCAGTCAGTTCTAATAATTTTTTCGCATTATAACTCCTGAATAATTGTTCTTTCTATTGTATCTATGAGCAAAATCTTAATTATAAGTAAATAGGGATACTATTTAAATAATGGCCAGTTTTCCATAAGTATTGTGCTTTAGTCATGAACAGTAATGGAAAATGTATCATTCACAGAGAAGTCATTCAGATAGTTCTTCATTAGGGAATAATGAAATAGGAGTGAATGCTATGATACTGTGAGCCGTATTTCTGGCATTTATCAGCCGGCGTGGCTTCCCTGGGCTCTGAGACTTGAAGGTGAGGACGGTGAGGGAATGCGCATCGTGTTAGCAATGATGCTTGTGGCTGCAGCCTCCTTGGTCACCTGCAGGCCAGTTTTCTGCCTTTAAAATCAGAAACACAAACGTAGAATGCTAAATCCCAATTACAGCAGAGCTTTTAGGTTAAAAATGTTTAAATAAGGAAAGACAATCAAAATTCATTATCTATAATAATAAAAGCACAACATGCTAATCAGACCGGATGTCCTTCCAGATGACCTTCCAGAGAAAGCCAGGCTGTGAGGGAAGGAAGGCCTATGAGAATGTGTACAATGCAAGTACCCAGCGCTACCCTGCGCAAGCCCTGAGTGTGCCCCAGCTTTGTTGGCTGTATTAGTTGTGTTGGCAGCTTATCTATAACAATAAAAGCATGATATGCAAATCGACTGAACGGCTCAACAGCAGAATGAGCATCCAGACGTCCTTCTGGATGGTCTTCTGGACGAGGCTGGGCTGAGAAACTCTTGCATGAATTTCATGCACAGGGCCTCCAGTTTTTTATGAGTAAGAACTGGGACAGAGATACCAATTCAACTAGTGCTTATCATTGTCCTTTGAGAAGCAAAACCATGAGGAGGGGCTACTTTCACTTTGTGCTTTACGATTGTGTTTCTCTCAGTTCCTGCATTCCTGCTGAACTGATAAGGCAGTACTACTGTTCCATAAATTCTAATTGAAATATAGATGATGAATCCATAGAACTAAAAACTCTTTAAGGTTTTTAAAATATTTTTTAAGAGTAAGGGTCCTGAGATCAGAAAGCTTTCCCAGGCTGCTCCCAGCCCCTCACCAGCAGCCTCCCCCTCAGGCCGGCAGGAGGGCGCCGGGCCCTGCGCTGTGGTGGGTGAGCGGCCGCGGGCAGGAGGTGCGCTGGGACTTCGGCCAGCTGCAGGAGCTCAGCCAGCGGACGGCCAACGTCCTGGAGGGAGCGTGCGGCCTGCAGCGTGGGGACCGCGTGGCCGTGGTGCTGCCCCGGGTGCCCGAGTGGTGGCTGGTGACGCTGGGCTGCATGCGAGCAGGTGGGTAGTGGGCCCCGCTGGGCTGGCACTGGCTCTCAGAGGGAGACCGATGGCAGAGTGCCACCGCTGCTCCCAGAAGATGCCTGCGCGGCACGCGTCACCGTTGGTTTAGGAAACTCTCCTAAGCGCCTGCTCCACGCACGGGCCACGTGCTCGTGGGCCTTGCAGGCGCCGGAGAAAGAGCAGAAACCGCCCACTGTGCATCGGCGGCATGTGACTTTCATAAGAACCATGAGAGGCCTGGCTCCCTGGAGCCTCACTGAGCACAGCGTGGCGTGTGTGCTGTCCCTGCCTGTGCTGCAGGAGACAGGGCAGATGTGAGTCATCGACCGAGAGCTCTGGCCCAAAGCCTAAGCATTTCCCATCAGCCCTTGCAGAGGAGCCTGAGTGGCGGGTCTGCAGCGGCCTGGGCGGCTCAGTGGAGTGGAACTGAGGCTGGGAACTGCAGAGGAGCTGGATCTGTCTTTGTGTCTGAGTGTGTGTGTGTGTGTGTGTGTGTGTGTGTGTGTCAGTTGGTATGTGTATATGTGTGTGTCTGTGTGTATATGTGTGTGTCTCTCTGTGTGTCTATGTGTTGTGTGTGTCAGTTGGTGTGTATGTGTGTGTGTCTGTATACATGTGTCTGGGTGTGCCTGTGTATGTTTATGTGTGTCTCTCTGTGTGTCTGTGTATCTGTGTGTGTCTGAATGTGTGCCTGTGTGTGTCTGTGTGTCTGTGTGTGTCAGTCGGTATGTGTCTGTATGTGTGTGTCTGTGTGTCTGTGTATGTCTGTGTGTGTTTATGTGTGTCTCTCTGTGTGTCTATGTGTCTGTATGTTTATCTGTGTGTGTGTGTCTGTGTGTATCTGTGTGTGTCCGTGTGTCTGTCTGTGTGTGTCTGTGTGTGTCTGTTGGTGTGTGTATCTGTGTGTATCTGTGTGTGTCTGTGTATCTGTTGGTGTGTGTGGGACTAAGGGCGGGTTATCAGGCTTAGACTGTCTGTGGTGTGACATTGGCCCTCTCACAGCTCTGACAACCCAGGGAAGCTGTGTGTAACCCTCTCTCTGGCCCCTGGTCCTCCCCTCCCCTCCACCGGAGCCCCTGTCCGTCCCTCAGCGTCTGCGGGAAGGGAGGACGCCAGCCCCCACTCCCCACGATCCCCCCCCTTCTCTCTAAGCCTCCTGACTCCCCAGGCCTGGTCTTCATGCCCGGGACCATCCAGATGACAGCCAAGGACATCCTCTACCGGCTGCAGGCGTCCAAGGCCAGGGCCGTCGTGGCCGGGGACGATGTGGCCCAGGCAGTGGACACGGTGGCCCCCGACTGCCCATCTCTGAGAACCAAGCTGCTGGTGTCTGAGCACGGCCGGGAGGGCTGGCTGCACTTCCAGCCGCTGCTGCAGTGAGTGTCTCCCCGCAGGGGCCTGAACAAGCCCAGCGCATGGCCGGGAGGTCAGGAGGTCGGGGGGTCGGGAGGTTGGGAGGTCCGGAGGTCAGGAGGTCGGGAGGTCAGGAGGTCGGGAGGTCAGGAGGTCTGGAGGTCAGAAGGTCAGGAGGAGCGTGGGGACGGTGAGGGGGCGGGTCATGCTGGTGTCAGGGCAGGAGCGGCCTTTGGGGGCACACGCTGGGCTCAGATTCTCATGGGAGGACCGGCAGCACCGGGCTCCACCGGGAGAGCACTGCCCTGAGGGGACACACACACCCCTGGGCCACACGTGTGCATGCATGTAGCTGCGGGTCCAGCTGGGGCCACAGTGAGCCCCGGGCCCCACCAGCAATACCAAGTGGGCGAGACAGCAGCCTGGTTAGTGGAAGGACCAGGGCACAGCTGGAGCCTCTGAGGTCACACACAAGTGATGGCTGGCACCCCGGTTTCTGGCCTCTCCTCCCTGCCCCCGCCCCCCCATACACACACACATACTCCTCGGCCTGGCTGCTGCAGCCAGGACAACACTGGGGGCCAACCCGCTTCCCGTCACGTGTCTGCAATCCGCCCCCCCCCCCCCGGGGACGCAGTTACACAGAGCCCAGGACAGCCTGGGGGGACTGAGCGCTTTCCTTCTGGTGATCTGTGTTCCGACAGCGGCCAGGGCACTGGACAGCGAGGCCGGCCCTGGGACACTCGAGACCGGGGCCCTAGAGGAGGGGTCTAGGGGTGCAATGCTCGGAGGGACTGGCTGGCACCCCAGCTGGTGCCATGTCAGAGATCTCGACAGCAAGTGGAGGAGCATGAGCTGAGTCAGCTCCCTGTGTGCTGTTCCTCTCTCCTGAGCCCAGGCCCGCACCGGGCGGGAGGGAGGGAGCCGGGTCCTCAGCCTGCCCGCCGCCCGGAGGTGTCACCCGCGTGGCACTGCCCGGCCGGCTCGGGCTCCGGGGCTCCGGAAGCCTCGCTCCCGTGGCCAGCGGGAGGGGGCCTCTGGGACCCTGGGCGGCGGCCTGAGGGCCCTGTCCCTGCAGAGGGGCAGCCCCCGCTCACCGCTGCGTGGAGACGGCGGGCCAGGAGGCGGCGGCCATCTACTTCACCAGCGGAAGCACCGGGCTCCCCAAGATGGCAGAGCACTCCCACGCCAGCCTGGGCATCAAGGCCAAGATGGACGCTGGGTAAGCAGACCCTCCCCTCGCTACAGAGACCCCGGGGCTCTGACTCCGCCCAGTGCCCGCGGCGGCTGCCTGGGGCCTCAGGAAGGAGGGGGCTGGGCACAGCCAACGGCCTGACCACAAAGCGCCAGGCGCCGGCCCGGAGCTGCGCTGCCGCTGACGGCTGGCGCAAAGCGTGGCAGACCCAGCCGCCGCGCCTGTCAGGTGCTGGTGGCTCGCTCTAACGCCACCCACACTCCAAGGCGACCCTTATCAGCAGCAGACGACCTTCCAGAAGCTCCATCGGGTTAATGGAGGGAACAGCCTCCGATGCCAGCGCTGGGGATGCCCACCTCCCTTCCCCGTCGTGGGCAGGGCCCCCAGGCCGCCGGGCGGGCGGGCGGCACAGGCCTCGGCCTCGCAGGAGGCCGGCCCGGAGACGCTCAGACACCGCGTGGCCCTGGGAGCCGGTGACGCCAGGAATGCGCTGGAGGAGCCGCAGCACACGCGGTTTCTATGGTGTGGACGCCGAGTCACTCCGTGTCTGAGATGTGAACGCTCACCCGCCCCACACTGGTCCTGGTGGCAGTGACCCAGTTCTCTGTGGGCAGTAACAGCAGAGCCTCCTTCCGGCAGACAGGCCCGGGCTCCACCGGGGGCGCTCCGTGCCAGGCCACCCGCTGGCGTGTCCCCGGCCCAGCGCCTTCTACTCTGGTCCCAGGAGAGAGGGCAGGCTTAGGCGTGGTGGTGCTCCGGGGCACAAAGGCCAGCTCGGCGGCTCCGGCCGCAGCGACCACCGCGTGTGCGAGGAGCGCTGAGCGACCACCGCGTGTGCGAGGAGCACTCTGCGACCAGTGAGAGCCAGACCAGGCCTCCGCTCAGGGACGGCAGCGGGCCACACCTCAAACACCCGCCTCCTGGGAGCAGAGTGCAGACAGACAACGTGCCTCCGTCCGCTTCTGCTCAGACACGCTGCCACGAAGCAGGCACACACCTGCCCCGCTCCCCAGCACGCATGTCGAGTGCACGTGTGTTCCTCTCTCCTCAGCCTGTGGATGGGCCTGCAGGCCTCGGACCTGGTCTGGACCATCTCGGACACGGCCTGGATCCTGAACATGTTGTGCTCCTTCCTGGAGCCCTGGACAGCGGGCGCCTGCGTGTTCGTCCACCTGCTGCCCAGGTTCGACCCCCTGGTCATCCTGCAGGTGAGGCCCACACATCACCCGCTCAGGGACTGCAGTCTCTCCCGCCCACACCGTGTGGGGTCCTTCACCCTCTCCCCCCCGTGTGCGGTCCGTCACCCTCTCCCCCGTGTGCGGTCCGTCACCCTCTCCCCACCCCCCACCCCCGTGTGCGGTCCCTCACCCTCTCTCCCCCGCCTCGGTGGGCATGCGGTTCACCAGGCCTGGCCAGGCAGCACTGACACCGCCTGCAGCCGTTGGCAGGAGGCGGGAGGGGGCTCTGTGAGGAGGCCTGGCCGCACCCTGCCCAGGGGCTCTGGGAGTCCAGGGCCCCCCCACTCCTGTGTGTCCACCACCGGCCAGGCGTGGCCTGGATTCTCTCAGGGGATTCTACTCAATGATTCTGTCACTTTCCCATCTAATCAAACTCTCACTCTGCCTCCTTCCACAAACCATGTGCTCTGCCTTCCGTGAAGAGCAACAGTTTTCCTGGGAGCCTGCTGGCAAACAGACGGGGCTTGGGGCGGGACGCCAGGGGGAGGGCGCGGCCGTGAGGGCCCAGAGGCGGCGGCTAAGAGAGCTCAGGCTGTCTGGAGGACGGCACCGGCGCCGCTCTGCTGGTGTGAGCCGTGGTGGGCAAACTCATCCGTCTGCAGAGCCAAACACCAACAGGACAACAACTGACATTTCTTTGGAGAGCCACATTTTTAAACCTAAACTATATAGGCAGGCACATTGTTACCTTAATTAGGGCACTCCTAAACTGGCCTTGGCTAAAAACTCAAGGGCCAAAGAGCCGCCTGTGGCTCGCGAGCCGCAGAGCTCCCACCCCGGAGTTAGAATGCCGTCCCGTGCACTGAGGGCGCGGGTCCGGTCCCTCCTGGATCGGACCCGCGCCCTCAGTGCCCGGCACATACCCGGGCTGCAGCTCCACCTCTGGCCGGTGCATACAGTCCTCAGTGGGGCATGCATACAACCAACCAGCGTTTCTCCCCCCCCCCCCCCCCCGCCCACCACCACCACCAAGAACAATGGAATATATATCCTTGGGTGAGGTTTAAAACAGAGTGCCTGGAGGAAATAACGGCATGATTCGCTGATGCTAATCATTTTCTTTTCTTTTCTTTTAAATATATTTTATTGATTTTGTACAGAGAGGAAGGGAGAGAGATAGAGAGTTAGAAGCATCGATGAGAGAGAGTCATCGATCAGCTGTCTCTTGCACACCCCCTACTGGGGATGTGCCCGCAACCAAGGTACATGCCCTTGACCGGAATCAAACCCGGGACCCTTCAGTCCCCAAGCCGAGGCTCTATCCATTGAGCCAAACCGGTCTCGGCTGATGCTAATCATTTTCTATGCTTTTGCCTCAGTCCTTCTCCTGTGAGCTCTGTGAGACAGAGGTGGCGTGGCATAGCAGCGAGTCAGCCCGCTGCCAATGCTGCCCACTCCGCGGCTGTGTGCCGCGGCCTCTGAGCCATGGCTTTCCCTCTGGCCGGGGTGATCACGCACGCGTGGTTTGAGCAGAGCAGTGCTGGCCCGGGTCTGGCTCAGCACCAGCTGAGCTGTAGGAGCTCCTGACTAGTCATAGGCCTTTCCCCTGAGGCCCCCTTCCTCCCCCCTCCCCGCACCCCATCATGAGCTGGGCGGGAGGTTCAGCCGCTGGCCCCCGAGCCAGGCAGCCGCAGCGGCCGCTCCACGGCCTGCAGCTGTGGGTGTGAGGACAGTCAGGACCTCGCAGCGGCAGGACCAAGCAGCTCAACCGGATAAAAGTGTACAGTCACCAGCTTTCACTCCACCATCGGAGCTTGTTCCTCTGCTCAGTTGGTGTGAGGGGACATGAGAACCAGGCTCATTGGCCTGGAGCAGACACACCAGTAAGCTGGACTGAAACGCAGACCCAGCCACGCCGGTGTCCCAGCCCGGCCCACGGGAGGGGTCTCACCTGGCTGTCTTCCGCAGGTTTTGTCCAGCTACCCCGTCAGCAGCTTGGCGGGCGCCCCGCTGGTGTACCGCATGCTGGTGCAGCAGGACCTGTCCAGGTGATCCCCTCCCCGCGCTCCCCGCCTACCCCATGGCCAGCACCCAGCTCGGGCCTGTGGGGACACCGCCTCTCCCCTCTCCCCTCAGGTTCCGGTTCCCGCACCTGCAGGGCTGCTTCAGCGGCGGGGAGGCCCTGCACCCGGGCACGCTGGCCAGCTGGCGGGCGCAGACAGGCCTGGACATCCGCGAGTTCTACGGCCAGACGGAGACGGTACCGCCTGCCCGCCGCCGCCCGGGGCCAGGAGCTGCCCCCTGCCCCTCCCCCTCCCCGTTCCCTTGACAATGAGCATACAGCCACCCGCCTGGGCGCTGCCCTCAGTGCCATGGGCGCCTGCGGGTGGGCACTGAGAGTGGAGGGAGCACGGGGGGGGGCAGTGGAAGCAGGACAGTGGTGTGAAGGCGCCGCGGGGAGGAGAGGAGGCTGAGTGGCCTCAGCAGAGCCCTGGCTTCAGGCGACCAGCACCGCTGCTCGGGGAAGGGACCTCCAGGAGCCGGCCTGCCAGGGAGGGGACCCCGCGCCGTGGCCTCCGTGTGGCCGGTGAGGTGGCCAGAGGTGCTCTGAGTTCTTGTCCACGCCCCTGTCCGCCACCTGGACCACGGGCTGCTTCTAGCCGCCACCGGGCGCTGCCCCCTCCCCAGCCTCTGCTGGGCCTCAGCACTTCCCCCCCTCCTCTCCCCCTCCCGCCAGCCCTCCCCGCCACCCCTCCCCGCCACCCCCTCCCCAATCACCCCTCCCCGCCACCCCTCCCCCGCCACCTCCTCCCCCGCCACCCCCTCCCCGCCACCCTTCCCCGCCACCCCCTCCCAATCACCCCTCCCCGCCACCCCCTCCCCGCCACCCCTTCCCCGCCACCCTTCCCCGCCACCCCCTCCCCATCACCCCTCCCCGCCACCCCCTCCCCGCCACCCCCTCCCCGCCACCCCTCCCCGCCACCCCCTCCCCGCCATCCCCTCCCCGCCACCCCTCCCCGCCACCCCCTCCCCGCCATCCCCTGTGCCACCTCCTCCCCGCCACCCTTCCCTGCCACTCCTCCCCGCCACCTCCTCCCCGCCACCCCTCCCCGCCACCTCCTCCCCGCCACCCCTCCCCCGCCACCCCTCCCCGCCACCTCCTCCCCGCCACCCCTCCCCCGCCACCCCCTGTGCCACCTCCTCCCCGCCACCCCTCCCCCGCCACCCCTCCCCGCCACCCCTCCCCCGCCACCCCTCCCCGCCACCCCTCCCCCGCCACCCCTCCCCGCCACCTCCTCCCCGCCACCCCTCCCCGCCACCCTTCCCCCGCCACCCCTCCCCCGCCACCCCTCCCCGCCACCCCCTCCCCGCCACCCCCTCCCCGCCACCCCTCCCCGCCACCCCTCCCCGCCACCCTCTCCCCGCCACCCTTCCCTGCCACCCCTCCCCGCCACCCCTCCCCGCCACCCCTCCCCGCCACCCCTCCCCGCCATCCCTCCAGCTCCTGCGGGAGGATGGGGACTGCAGGGCTGTGCTGGGGGTGCAGTGTGAGGAGGACCAGGAACTGCAGGGCTGAGCTTGGGGGGGAGGGGTGCAGTGCAGGAGGACAGTGCAGGGCAGGGCCCCCGGGCCGTCAGAGGGAGTCTGGCCAGGCCCCCATGGCAGTGGGAGTGTATTTGGCCACAGCCAGGCTGGGACTTAGGGAGGTAATTTAACTCCATTCGGTGTAAAAACTTTGGGTGCCCTGCTCCCTTAGGACAGTACGGCTCCCTAAAAAAGATTAAAATGTGGTTGTTAGTTCCTCCATTCGTGGGAGTAGTCAGTCAGATTGCTTCCAAACAATTTAGGGTCAGGAAAGGCGAGAGAGCAGGGGAGAGGAGAGCAAGGGAGGGAGAGCAGGGGAGAGGAGAGCAGGGAGGGGAGGGCAGGGAGAAGAGGGCAGGGGAGAGGAGAGCAGGGGAGGGGAGAGCAGTGAGGAGGAGCAGGGGAAGGGAGGGCAGGAAGGGGAGGGGAGGGGAGGGCAAGGAGGGGAGGGCAAGGAGGGGAGGGCAGGGAGGGGAGAGCAGTGAGGAGGAGCAGGGGAGGGGAGAGCAATGAGGGGAGAGTAGGGGAGAGGAGAGCAGGGAGTGGAGAGCAGGGAGGGGAGAGCAGGTGAGGAGGAGCAGGGGAGGGGAGGGCAGGGAGGAGGAGCAGGGGAGGGGAGGGCAGGGAGGGCAGGGAGGGGAGGGCAGGGGAGGGCAGGGAGGGGAGGGCAGGGAGGAGGAGCAGGGGAGGGGAGGGCAGGGAGGGGAGGGGAGGGGAGGGGAGGGCAGGGAGGGGAGGGCAGGGAGGGGAGAGAGCTGGAAGGGGAGAGCAGGGGAGGAGGACCAGGGGAGGGGAGGGCAGGAAGGGGAGAGAGCAGGAAGGGGAGAGCAGGGGAGGAGGAGCAGGGGAGGGGAGAGCAGGTGAGGAGGAGCAGGGGAGGGGAGGGCAGGGAGGAGGAGCAGGGGAGGGGAGGGCAGGGAGGAGGAGCAGGGGAGGGGAGGGCAGGGAGGGGAGAGAGCAGGAAGGGGAGAGCAGGGGAGGAGGAGCAGGGGAGGGGAGAGTGGGAGGTAGAGCAGGGGAGGGGAGAGCAGTGGAGGCGGAAGAGAATTGCCTTCCCACTGGGTGAGGACTGCTCAGCGGAGGGCTCTTTGTCCTCAGTTTTCTTCTGTGCTGTGACCTATGACCCTCCTGGGGTTGCCTGCTTCTCACAGGGCCTCACCTGCAGAGTGTCCAAGACCATGGCGGTGAAGCCGGGCCGCCTGGGGACCGCCGTGCCCCACTACGACGTGCAGGTGCGCTGGGCCTGGGGCACGGGAGCCATACGTTTCCGTTCTGCACCAAGGGGCTGAGAGACCACGTGCTGCGCGGCGGTCGGGGTGCCTTTTGATGTGTCTGGTGCCCAAGTTCCCAGGCCTCGAAGGCAACGGGGCGGCCGCTCTCCTCCTGAGCTCCTGCAGCCGGATGGTCCCAGTTCTTCTGGCCCCAGCTCCGTGGGGCTTCCCTGACCCCCGCCAGGCAGGCGGGTTCGAGACCTGGCTCCACGCGCCTGGTTCCCCAGGTCCGGACCGGGTGCTCGGCCACCACTGGAGCCGAGGGCTCTGGGTGCCCAGCCGGCTCTCCGCTGCTGCCAGCCCAGCCCGGCTCACCCCGCCTGCTCCCTCCACAGGTCATCGACGACCAGGGCCGCGTCCTGCCGCCAGGCGCGGAGGGCGACCTGGCCATCAGGGTCAAGCCCCACCGGCCCATCGGCATCTTCTCCGGCTACGTGGTAACGCGGCCCGGGTGGGAGACGGGCTCTGGAAGGGAGGAGGGCGGTCCCGGAGCTGTGGACTCCCAGAGGCACTGGCCAGGGTGCCCGGGGCCAGGGTGCCCAGAGCCTAGGAAGGGTGCTCGCCAAGAAAGAAGGCCCTGCGCGCTGCCGTCCTGAGCCTAACACTGCCCACATCAGGACGGCCTTCTCCACGCACAGGAGCTCCACATGGCAGAATGCCGCTGCCCTGAGCCACATGCCACAGACGACTCTCCCAGAGCCCTGCACCAAGCCTCATCCCCTCCCCTGTCACACGGTCCTCTGTCACATGATCCTCTGTCACACGGATCCTCAGTCACACGGATCCTCAGCCACACGGTTCTCTGTCACACGGTCCTCTGTCACATGATCCTCTGTCACACGGTCCTCTGTCACATGATCCTCTGTCACACGGTCCTCTGTCACACCATCCTCTGTCACACGGTCCTCTGTCACACGATCCTCTGTCACACGGTCCTCTGTCACACGGTCCTCTGTCACACAGTCCTCTGTCACACGGATCCTCTGTCACACGGTCCTCTGTCACACGGTCCTCTGTCACACGGATCCTCAGCCACACGGTCCTCTGTCACATGATCCTCTGTCACACGGTCCTCTGTCACAGGGATCCTCTGTCACACGGATCCTCTGTCACATGATCCTCTGTCACACGGTCCTCTGTCACACCATCCTCTGTCACACGATCCTCTGTCACACGGATCCTCAGCTACACGGTCCTCTGTCACACGGATCCTCAGCTACACGGTCCTCTGTCACAGGGATCCTCTGTCACACGGTCCTCTGTCACACCATCCTCTGTCACACCATCCTCTGTCACACGGATCCTCAGCCACACGGTCCTCTGTCACACGGATCCTCAGCCACACGGTCCTCTGTCACACGGTCCTCTGTCACACGGATCCTCTGTCACACGGTCCTCTGTCACACGATCCTCCGTCACACAATCCTCTGTCACACGGATCCTCTGTCACACGGTCCTCTGTCAAGCCTCGTGAGCATATCACCCTGGGACGGACCACAGAGCTGGGGTTTTCCTGTCCTCAGACCTTGGAATGTTAGAAACAGGTGTCCTCAGTCCGCCGCCTTCTTTAGAGGTGAGGACGCTGAGACCAGAGGTCACAGGCGCATGCGAGCCGCCGCTGCTGAGCAGTGGGCGAGAAAGGCCTGCCTGAGCCTTAGCCAATCAGGAAATCCGTGGTATAGCTGCTGCCACTCCATGTGTGCTTGCTGAGTGGCACACCGCCCTGGCACACCTTGCAGACACCACACTCATTAGCCCTCAAGGACCTTAGGAGCTCCTTGGAGCCCAAGTGCTTAAGTTCAAAGCCCTGCTCTTCCCCTTGCCTGTGTGAGGAAGTGGCTGATGCTCAGCCTCGGTTTCCAAACCTGTGGACTGTGGATTGCAGTACCTCGTAGCATTGCCATGGTTCTGGAAAGGCTTAGACAGCACTGGTGAGCGTGCGCGAAGAGAAGGCTGAGATCCTCACTAGCACCCACGTGAGGTCCAGGTGAGGAGAGGAGGTCGGCAGGCGAAGGTGCTGGAGTAAGGGTCGGCCTGGGGTCAGGGTTTGGCCTCAGTCTCCGCTCTGCCGTCGGGAATGGCTATGGGCTTTGGACGCCACAGTGCACACCCGTGTTCTCCACGTGGAGACCGGAGCCGAGCATGCCCTCTGCCGTCTCTGAACCAGAGACTGAATGGCCATCCGCGCCCACACGCCTACACGTAAACAAACACCCAGATGCTCAAGGGGTGAACCCCAAGCCTTCTCCCTGGTCAGCAACACCGGCCTCAGCTGTTATATTTCTGGAATTTTCGAACCTAGCAAAGGAGCATGAGAGTATCCCGTCAACCTTGGCTCCCTTAGATGGTGCCTGAAACGGAGCCGGAGTCAGGCTGACTCGCAGGGAAGGGACGCCCGGGCACGGGTCGTGGAGGCGTGCACGTTCCTGGGGGATACGTGACCCAAAGGGGAGCTCCCGGGCGGGGTGGCCACTCGGGCAGCCTGCCAGCGCAGGGTTCGCCTTGTGCCTGCTCGGCTGCTCATGCCGCCGGCCCGGGCTGGGGCGCAGGCCCTGCAGCACACGCTGTCTTTCTGCGGCTCCAGGACAACCCTGAGAAGACAGCGGCCAACATCCGGGGGGATTTCTGGCTCATGGGAGACCGCGCCATCAAGGACCAAGACGGCTATTTCCAGTTCGTGGGGCGGGCAGACGACATCATCAACTCCAGCGGGTGAGCTGTTCCGGGCGGGGAGTGGGACCCAGGTCCTCGTTCTGACGGTTCCAGACCCGGCCCGGCCCAGAGGGGGCCGGCTCCTCTGACAGGTGGTTCCTCTCCAGGTACCGGATCGGGCCCGGGGAGGTGGAGGACGCCCTCATGGAGCACCCCGCTGTGGCAGAGACGGCTGTCATCAGCAGCCCAGACCCCGTCCGAGGAGAGGTGATGGGGGCAGCAGGCTGGGTGCAGACGTGGGCAACAAGGGCATAACGAATGATGGCTAAGAGGGTGTACTCTGGCCACTGGACGGCCTGAGCCAACATCTTGGCCCTCCTGCGCACTTGCTGTGTGATCTGGAACAAGTTGCTTAGCCTCTCTGAGCCTCAGTTCCCCACCTGTGAGATGAGGGGCAGCTTGATGAGTAAAGTGTTAATATTTACAAGATTCTTGCAATGAGATCTGTCACATAGCAAGCACCTCAGAAGATCTGCTGTTGTTGGCACTTGAATCAGAACTGACCACTGACCGAAAGAACTGAGGAGGCATTTGAGCCAAGAGATGGAGCCCCACGCCATGGGTTGCAGTGGGGCTGTGGGGAGATGGAAGACCCTCACAATAATGAAGGCTATAGCAAAGGTCCAGAGGGGTCTGCAGGAGCCTGGTGTGTGGGGAGGCAGTAAGGTGCAGAGGTGTGGGTCAGCGTTCAGCTGCATCTCTGCAGGTACATGTGGACACTCATACCTCTGGCAGGTATGGGGCATGTCACCATGGAAACCAGAGCAGCCACTAGGCAAATGGGGCCCAAAGAGGGTCCTCTACTGGGAAAACTCTGTGCCGGGATGGAGCGAAGCCTCGGGCCTGGGAGGCTGCGTATGATTTCCTTGTAGTCCCCACGCGTTAAGGAAGACAGTCGGACCTCCATGTCACAGCTGTGCACGCGGTGGCGTGGGGGTGCACAGAGCTCCGGGGCTGTGGCCACAGCCTGTACTGTCTTCTCTTCGCTTAGCCAGCCTCTCCCTGCCTCTGTTGCCTCTGGGATGTGAGGTGAGCAGGTCTCAGTCTGCAGTCCTCACTGCCCACCCAGTAAGCCATTTGAGAGATTGGACTTTGGCCATTATTACCCCAGTGTCTCCCTTTTCTTGGCCCCAAGCCCCTGGAGGCACAGTGGAGAGGACGGGTCAGTGGCTGAGGAGGAGTCCTAACGCTGACTGTGCTACGCCGGAGTGCCCACGCGTCTGCCCCCTCTCCCCTCGCCCGCGCCGCAGGTGGTGAAGGCCTTTGTGGTGCTGGCGCCGCAGTTTGTGTCCTGCGACCCGGAGCAGCTCACCCGGGAGCTGCAGCAGCACGTGAAGTCGGTGACCGCCCCGTACAAGTACCCGAGGAAGGTGAGGCTGTCCCCAAGCCTGAGGAGAGACGGCCTCTCTCATGTCCCCTCTGGCCGGGGCCAGGACCTTATTCCGAAGTCCTGCCTGGCCATGACCGAGAACGCCCCCAATTCATCCAGAAGTGTTCTCGGTGCGGAGGGCAGCCTCGCTCAGCACCGTTCCCGCACAGTTCCCGCACACCGGCCACAGCCCCGCTCAGCACCGAGCTCTCGCTCTGTTATCCGGGGTTCTCTGGGCTGCGAGCCGCAGAAACCCGACTTGAAGTTTATTTCTCACACACTGATGAGTACAGGGGCGAGGGCTCAGACACGGTGGGAACAGCAGGCAAGGGGTCAGGGGTGGCTCTTGCCCCGACTCTCCTTTCGGTATTGGCCTCCTTCCTGGAAGTGCTCTCAGCAGCTCCACACACTCTTCCAGAGCTGTGCAAATCCCCGTGGTCCCCAAAGGACCAGCCTGCACATGGATTCTCATTGGAACATTTCCAGTCAGAGTCCACTGCTAAACCAATCCCTGTAACCAGGGGTGAAACACTCTGATTGGCCAGCTATGGGTCACATGGTCACCCCTAGAGGGCATGCAGGATGATGGGAGAAAGGGCTGCCCTACCCAGGTCAGGGACCAGTGAAGGAGGGTGGCTCCCGCGGTAAATGGAAGAGCCGTCGTCAGAAAAGGCAAAAAGCGTACACTCCACTGTGTCTGCTTTCACGGGGCAGGGAGCCGAGGCAGAGGTGGGCACGGAAGAGTTTGCCCCAGGGAAGGGTTTAATTTCTCCTCTTTGGAGTCTGGGCGGAAGGTGAGAGCAGCCCCATGAAGCCCCCAGATCCTATGTAACCAGGTGCCCTCTAACAACTGGTCTGCACACACAAGCTGTCCTGGCAGGGTCTCTGAGAGGCAGACTCAGGGTCTGACAGCCAGAGGTTTGGAGGGGGTCTTTGGGATGCTCTTGGGAAGGAAGGGGAAGGGCTGACTGAAGGTAGAGTTGCACTGTGATGTGGCTCAGTGGCCTCAGCCAGCCCCTGGGAGTCTTGAAGCTAAGACGCCCTCTCGTTTCCGGAGCAGCCTGGATGCAGCTGCCTGGGGCGGGGCGGGGCCCTGGGAGGGGAAGGGCGGGACAATCTCCTGAGCTGCTGTGCTCCCTGGGGGGCCTGGCAATGGGAAAGTGAGTCTTGCATTCCTGCAGGGACCTGGGTGGTACCTCAGAGTCCACCACACAGACTTACATTCACCTCCACTACTCACTCAGCAGTCTCTCTGTGCCTTACTTTTCCTACCTGTAAAATGGGGATAATGGTGTCACCCCTCCACAGGTTGCTAAGAAGAACAGTTAATGTTTGTAAGGTACCTTAGCCAGAATTTAATAAGTATTTTAAAAGCGGCTAGGAATCGGACCACACCAAGCATATTATGAATTTTGACTTGTAGCTGAATATTTCTGAGGATCCAGTGGAGAGGTCGGGTCATACAGGGTAGCAGGGTACTGTCCCCTTAGAATGCCTGCAGTGGTTCTTCCCACACCTTCCTCCTCCCAGCACCCGCCCCCTCACCTACACACACACACACACACACACACACACACACACACACCACCGCTCCTCTCCCTTCTTCCTGACATACACATCACTTTCTTCCTCGCTGGGAGCCTCCTGTGTTTCCTTCTACTCTCCACTGACACCTCCAACCAAATAGTCCTGTTTTAGGTCAGACTGTCTTTGTGGGAACTACTCAACCCTGCTCTGTAGCGAGAAAGCAGCCAGCCACAACTGCAAATAAACATGTGTGGCTGTTGTTTCAATAAAACTTTATTTACAAAAACAGAAGGGCTGGATGTTGCCCACAGGATATAGCTTGCCAACCCCCAGCTTTATCTAACTGATTTAACAAATTCTTTTCTTTACATAGTCTTGCCTCATGGCAAGTCAGCTGCTAACTTTTTCGTACCAGTGTCCCTATTATTACTTTCCTTAAACCCAAAACCATCTGATTTCTAGACCAGTGGTCTGGCAAGCTGAGCCCCACAGCCAGAGCCTCGGTGAGTTCTCTTCCCCGCCCACACCTTGGGGTTCAGGAGAACTAGAGACGGAGGGTCCTGAACGTCAAGCATTCCTTCCCGGGTGAGAAAGGTGGAGTTGGAGAGGCTTTGAGTTCTGCTGAGGACACACCAGCAGCAAATGATGGAGATGACATTGAAAATCAGGCTCCCTAACCTCAGCTGCCTGTTTCTAGTCCAGATCCAGATGCAGGGCTAACACCATGGGCTTGGCCCTGCCAGGAGCTCAGCCTGCACTCATCCTCACAGCGCCGCAGGCTGTGATTCCAGGTGACTGGGCGGGAAGGATGAATCTCAGGAAAGCCTCCATCAAAGCCAGGTAGAAGGTCTGGGAGAGATGGGGGCATAGAGAGTCTGATGTCAGGGCTCAGGTGTCTGCCTCCTGTGAGGGGTCAGTGCCCTGCACTGCTCTCCCTGCCCCCAGTTCATCAGAGGCCAGTTGGCTCACTCTTAGATCCTATTTGCCTCACTTTCTGAACCTTCTTGCTGCAACTTCGTATATCCTGGGAGTTTTCCTAGCTCAGCAGTCACTCACCTGGAGCCTCCTGCCCCGGAACTTCCCCTCACCTAGCAATTCCTCCAAAAAGCCAACCTGCGGAGTCAGTCATGGATGGCCAGCCCTGACCCATCTGTCCCAACAGGTGGAGTTTGTCTTGGACCTGCCCAAAACCGTGTCTGGGAAAGTCCAGCGGACGAAACTCCGAGACCAGGAGTGGAGGAGGCCTGGGCCAGCCCGGGCCCAGTGACACCAGGAGTGGAGGAGGCCTGGGCCAGCCCGGGCCCAGTGACACCAGCAGGGGTTCTTTGGGCCTGCCCCCTCATCCCCTTCCTCCGTTAACAAAGGGTGCAGCCACTCTTTATCTGGGCTACTTAGATCTTTATATTTTCAACAATTTTTGAGATTCAAATCCAATTCTAATTATTTTAAGGCCTTTACTTTGGCTAATTTTTTTTAGATGTTTTGTTTTGTTTTAATATATTTTATTGATTTTTCACAGAGAGGAATTGAGAGGGACAGAGAGCCAGAAACATCGATGAGAGAGAAACATCGACCAGCCACCTCCTGCACACACACCCCCCCCCCCCATGGGGATGTGCCCGCAACCAAGGCACATGCCCCTGACCGGAATCAAACCCGGGACCCGACGCTCTATCCACTGAGCCAAACCGGTCCCAGCTACTTGGGCTAATTTTTGTAACAAACAATTTACTGATTTTCTGGGAGGTCTTAAAGTTGTTTTAACATGCTTCATTAGCATTTTAAAAACCACTCTTTATTAGGGAATTGTCAATCCTGTTTTTTCCTGGGTCAAATTCGCAGTCTTTCGTTTTGCAGAAAAAACTGTCTTGGGTTTTTCATTTCTGTGGCTTTGACAGAGAGTCAAGCACAAAACCCTGAACATCCAAAAAGGGGACAGCTGGACACATTTTGTTTTAAGCCAGGCTTCTCTCCCCATGAGCACAGAAATCCCAGACGCATTTCTAAATCTTTATGGCGAGAAAGGAGACTCTAAATCAGCGTACTGGGAGAGTGGGCTCCGTATTGGCTTGCCTGGTGTCTCCCTTCCCCACACCCTGCTTGCTTTGGGGGAACTTTCTGGCTGCGTGTCTTTTCATGCTTAATAGATAAAGACAGATCTTAATTTTTTTTTCTTTTTTCTCTTTACGAAGTAATAACTAACACTTAAGCTTATCTTTGCCAAAATTTGGTTATCATAAGATGTTCTTTGGTAATTTTTAAATAAAACTTTAAGTAATCTTTCTGCAGGAGAGCTTATAGCTCTGCCCTTTGAATTTCTCCGCACTAGAGGTAGTTTCAGTAGTGGGATTTCATTTCTTATTACAAATTTTAGATTCCAAATATAAATTAAGATTTTAATTTGAACAAGAAACTACATTAAAGATGACCATGGCACTCTTTTTTTCAGCCTGATTTAAAGAAGTACCTTTTGATATTCCAATTTCTTTATAATTTTGCCTATTGACCAAATTTTTCCCCAATATAATCTGACTGAAACACAAAGTATCACTCACGCACTTACAGATCCGAGGGGTTCTGAAGCTGACATGGGCTCTGTGCACAGTGAACTTTACCATCCGCTCAGGTGAACCCTTCTTTCTCCAGAAGCTTTCCATTAGTGTCTCCAGCCCCAGGTCGGGTCCCCATAATGCCAGGGTTCTCTCCCCAGCCTTACAAAAGGCTCAGCATTCTGGAGAAAGGGGCTGATGTGCAGATGATTAAAGAGTCCAAGGATGAAAGATAACTTTGAAAGGCATTAGGGGTCAGAGGATCTTCAGCTAAAAGAACTGAAGACTCTTTTGTCTAAGGACCCTGTGCTATTTATTTAACACAATTTGTCCTAAGGCAAGGTGGAGATACGCACTTCAAAGGGTAAGGTTTCAAAGGGTTTTGTCAGTTTGGGGAATAGCCAACAGCTGTTCGGGTGTTTGGCCAACAGGAGGCAATAAAATGCCCTGAGTTGTCTGGCAGTTAACAATCCTATTCAGGTTTGGGGGAAGTGCCGTTTAGCCATTTCCACCAGATAAGCTACATATGTGGCTCACCCTTGTTGAGCTGCCCAAGCTTCACCAGCCTTTTGGTGAAACTCTTGTAATTATTACATGCTGGAATTGGTTCCTGGCAGCAGGGAGTCAGTGGACACTCGCAGAAACCCAGAGATGCTGGAGAAGAGTGCGTCCTGGAGGCGGGCGAGACTGGGAAGCTCTGGGCTTGAGGTGCCCAAGACACAGCTCAGCAGAGATGTCCAGTGAGTGGTTGGGTCTGAAGCTCAGAACAGAGGTCCCTAGCTAGTAGTTTCCCGTGTGTGTGCCACAGCCCTGAGAGAGGGGGGGGTGAGAGGGAATGCGTGGCTCTCCAGGCCCCTCCCTGTGACAACAATGCTCCTCACAGCCACACCTGCTAAAGGAGAGCTGTTTTCTCCAGGCGTTGTGTACACAGAAGCCCCTTACCACAGGGAGTCACCGCAGCCCCTGAGTCCAGGAGAGGGTAGGAGTCATGAGCGGGCAGGGATGGGCCCTTCCTTCCCCAGCTCTTGTCCTCTCATATAAACAAGAGACCCTGGTTGTGTTGTGATAAAGCCCATTTATTAAAGCAGTTATGAGAAGGAAAACCCCTATTTTGTAAAAAAAAAAAAAAAAAAAAAAAAAAAAAAAAAAAAAAAAAAACCCTGCTGTTTCTAGAAATGTTTGCTTTCTGGTCTGCTTTAGCCTGTTTGAATAATGATGAAGATAAACTTAGCTGTATGACCTTGTAGGCCAGAGACTAGATATGCTCATAATCTCAATACCATGCCAGGTGCATTTTTTAATTGGATAGAACTGTATTGTTTTCAAGGTTAGCATCGAGATAACCATTAAATGCACATAGGGATGGCCAGTGCCTGGGACAGACGGCACTGTGGCCACCGCTCCTGGTCCCGGGCCCGCGCTGAGCTGCCTGCATGATAGGCACGGTGTCCCAGCTCCTTCAGGCTCTGGGCAGCTTAGCTCATTGCTTTACGTCTAAATTACTACAGAAATTGTACCCAACAGGACACACTCTATCACTGCTATCAGGAGCATCGTGTCCTTAACATTAATAAAAGGACACCACACAAAACAGCAAAACAAAACAGTAGTGTTCTGCTCAGCTTAGCTGCTGCTGCTGCCCCAGGAGTCTCGGCTGGCTTATCAAGGAGAGGCAGGATCAGCGGGCGGGAGTCCGACCAGCCCAAAGCGGAGCCGGGAGGGCCACGCCTGTAAGGGCCTGGGGACTTGAGTGGGGACAAGGGCGATGAAGCAGGAGGCAGAGTGGCTGTGCTTGGCTGATGGGCTCTCCTAGAACCATCTGGTAAAAGCGGTGACATCTTTCACCAGAAGCTCAGCGTCCAGGTGACCCGTCACCAAAAGGCCCAGTGATTTCTAAGCGATGGCAGCAATCATCTCTCGGTATAAAAGGTTACTATGCAAAGTGTCCCCTCGGGAGTTCCACGGGAGGCCAGGAGTTTGATCGCTCGCTATGACATGTGCTGACCACCAGGGGGTGGTGCCGAACCAAGGAAGGCCCTCCTGACAGCCAGCAGCTTCATGCACTGGGCCTCTCGTGTGCCGAACGCCCCGGGAAGCAGGTGTGAGGCTTCAAGGGAATCCAAGAAACAGAGAGGTTTGGGATTGTCAGTGAGGGCACCAGGTTCCTAAGAGGGTGGAAATGCAGTGACAGCTGCCCACCGTGCAGCGCGGCCCGCCCGGCCGGGCTGTCTGTGGCCCGGAAGAGGGGGTGGAGCAGGGCGATGGGAAGGAGGCCCTGCCTTCTACAATGGCAAGAGGAACAGGGTGTGGCCCGCCACTCGGGTTTTCATGGCCGGTTGTGTTTTGTTTTGTTTTGTTTTGTTTTTTTTCATGGCCGGTTCTTTACAGCGGGCCTGACCAAGCCCCAGCACACGGCGAGGCGACCTGCGTTCTGACTTATTTTCCCAGCAGCTCTAGGACTGGCACACTAACACCCCTCACTAATGAGGGCACTGGGGCTCCGCAGCTAAATGGTTTGCTTTGTAACTTGTTCACGAATTCAAACCTAAACATTGGACTTCAAGCCCCATACACTTCCTTCTTAATGGATCACCGGAGGGGGGCGTTCAAGGAGGAGAAACCTCAGTGTTTCCAAACCCGAGAGCCGCCAGCAGCAGGAAGTCCATGGGACGGAGCAGGAGGGCGGGCCCAGGGCCCAGGACACAGGCCCGGCGGCTGCTCACCCAGAAAGCTGCCCGCTCCTCTCTGATAAACACCGACACCGGCGTAAGGGGACTGAGACAGCAGGAGGCATCAGGCTGGCTCTCGGGAAAGGATGCTTTGTGAATATCCTAAGAAACGAGCGCTAGAAGGACGTTGGATAATTATATCAGTGATGGCAATTTCTTCAACAAATGTTTATCACACCTGTCCGTGCAGGCATTCTAGCCCAGAGCAGACACGAGCGGGTGAAAGGGACCAGGCTCTGCTTTTGCACTTCCAGCGGCGGAGGGAAATGAGCAGGGAGAGGGGTGGTCCAGGGCGCTGGAAGCAGTGACAGCTGAGGGGACTGATGAACAGCCAGTGACCTGAGACTCTGAGGTGATGCCTCCAGGCCTGGAACACAGCCAGGGGCGCGTGGGGGGCAGGGGGCGGGCGTGTTTGGGGCAGGGGGCGGGCACGTGGGGGGCAGGGGCAGATGGGGGGCAGGGAAAAGGCACGTGGGGGGCAGAGGCGCGTGGGGGGCAGAAGGTGGGCTCATGGGGTGCAGGGGCGCGTGGGGAACAGGGGAAGATGGGGGGCAGGGGCACGTGGGGGGCAGGGGCAGATGGGGGGCAGAGGGAGGGCAAGTTGGGGCAGAGGCAGGTGTAGGGGGGCGGGGGGGAAGCAAGCCTGGGGCAGAGGAGCTGGAGGGGTGGGCACATCACTACCAAAGCTTTTATAAAATCCACGTCTGGTCCTCTCAGTCAGAGAAAGTAGTACAGCCCTGGGACAGGTGATTTAAAAAGCTCCCAGGAGATCCCAGTGGAACCCGAGGTTCAGACTCCCTCCTCTCAACACTTCCAGAGAGAGCCTGGCGTCAGGAGCCTGTGGGGGGCTGTGGGGAGCTGTGTGTGGGGCTGTGTGTGGGGCTGTGTGTGGGGCTGTGTGTGGGGCTGTGTGTGGGGCTGTGTGTGGGGGGCTGTGTGTGGGGCTGTGTGTGGGGCTGTGTGGGGGGCTGTGTGGGGGGCTGTGTGGG